TTTTCCAGTTTTTATTATTCTCTAACAGATCATGTCTTTGTGGCATTTTCATTTCAGAAACATAAAAGCAATTCATTACTAAGTAGAATGTTCTTGATTAATATGAAAAGACAAGACCATTGTCTTAGTCCAGTGCATTACATGAATAATCAACATAGACAATAGGTAACAAGATATTTTGAAAGTAGCACCTGACTACCTATAGAAAAAGAGACCCTCAAAATGTTCACACCACTGGCTAGTCATCTATGCTTAAGTAGTCTATGTCAGCCATTCTCCAGGTGTGGCTCCAGGACTATCAGTATATTACCTGGGAATGTTGGAATGCAAATTCTCAAGTCCTAATACTAACCCAGACCAACTGAATTGTTTTAACAAAATGCTGTTGCATGCTGTTGTTGAACCATTGCCTAAACGGTGCAGTCTCTAGGTGAGGAGACAGCAAGGAGCTATCAGAAGGCAATTTGCTGTGAATCTCTTGCCACCTTTTCTGATCTCCTGTTCCCCCCACCTCAAACCCATCAAGGGCTGATGTAAATTCCAGAAGGAAAATGGCTATTTTGCTTATGCTCTGTGCAAGCCAACACTGTCAGTCACAAAGATCTCATACAGAGTTGACTGTAGTCTGTGAAGTCAAGCTCTCTGGTTTCCAATACTGTCTTCACTTTCCACCAGCTATTTCTCATCTCCTCATCTTAGTTTCCTCTATTTGTAAAATGACAGCTAATAATGTAATTACCTCAGGAGGTCATCCAGATGATTAAATGTAAAGTGCTTGGCATAAGTGATTCATAAATGATGCTATTATGTTACAAGGTTCCTCTCCTAGGCTGTACTTTGGTACAAGTATCAAGGTGGGCATCACTTCAGTTGTATAATTACATCATATTTAGTGTCATATTAGGTGGGAAAGTTAGGCAAACAATTATGAATTCACATGCTGCCTTCCTACGTATCATGTCAACAGAATTAGGGAAATAACGTTTATAGAACATGGAGTAGTTAACATTCAGCTTAGGTTTCCCTCTCCTGATGTAACAAACACAAAGTTCAGTGTTAAACTCAAAGCTGCTATCTCCAATAAAATCAGGCTAAACTTTAAAGGTCACTTACTTGTAATTTTACATGACCATTATAAAACTTTTTCCATGTGAATACTGTCATGACCATCTGATCATTTAGAACAGTAACACTGAAGATGTGCATTAAAATCCACTTGATTTACCAGTGGACATTTTATCACATTCAGGCCTCAGTCAATGCTGTTCACTTATTCAAAGTATAAAGTGGATAATTAGCCTAGAAAATTCTCATAGACTTTTTAAATCTTGAAATATTACTTCAAAATTTAATGTAGTAGGATCAGAAGCACTTACCTTTCCATGAAAGTATTTCTACTTTCAAAATTAGGAAGAGGATTGCAGCCTATTTTTAATGGTAGGACTGTAAGATCCTTCTGTTTTTGTACATGTTCAAAAGGTTTCTAGGTTTTAAATTTATTGACATTGGGGTTCAGTTAGTTTCCTTTTGAATCCCAGATGATACATGTGGTATAATAAAAAAATAAGTATCCTGGTTCCGGGCAACGACCCTTGTAATTTCCTGAGTGATATCTTCTGTTATTCCTCACGCCTCTACCTGAGTTTATGTAATGCAGTGACTTAGCTTCGGTCACCAGTCATCAACCATATGGATTAGAGGGCTAGAACTATCGCCCCGCCCCCAAGGGAAGTAAGTAAACAAGGTTAAGGGAGCATCTGGGCAAACACATCCATGTGCTGGGAGGGGGGAGCACCAGGCTAGGACAGGATGTGCTGTGCACCCCCGCCCCCCACCTCACCCCTTTGCCCTATGGATCTCTCAGGCTGTTCCTGGTTTGTATCCTTTATAATAAACTACACTCCATAGTGCTTTCCTGGGCTCTGGATCATTCCACTGCATCCTTTAACCTGGGAGGGAGTGGGAACATCTAATTTGTAGTTAACCAGGCACAAGTGTGGGTACCCTGGGGACTCTTTTTGGCTGGTGTCTTAAATGGGGGCAGTATTGTGGATGTTCAGTTGCTAAGTTGTGTCCGACTCTGTGACCCCATGGGCTGCAGCATGCCAGGCCCCTCTGTCCTCCACTATCTCCTGAAGTCTCACATTCATGTTCACTGAGCTGGTAATGCTATCTAACCATCTCATTCTCTGCTATCCCCTTCTCCTTTAGCCTTCAATCTTTCCCAGCATCAGGGGCTTTTCCAGTGAGTCAGTTTTTCTCATCAGGTGGCCAAAGTATTAGAGCTTCAGCTTCAGCAACAGTCATTCCAATAAATATTCAGGGTTGATTTCCCTTCTCACTTTCTGGAATCTGTGTTAATTCCAGGTACTGTCAGAATTAAAGGACAGCCAGCTGCTGTTTAGGAATCAAAGAACTGGTGTTGAACAGTGGAGCAGGGTAGATAGGAGAGGCTCTCCTATCATTTTCCAGTGCTCTTGGGATTCCTGTGGGTGACCAACATCTGGCAGTACTACCCAGCTGTCACACTGCAGACCTAGCTAAAAACTCCAGTAGGAGTAAAGAGAGAACAAAACATCCAGTTCAGTACTTTAATATACATTATCGTTCCCTGGTGGCTCAATGGTAAAGAATCCATCTGCCAATGCAGGAGACTTGGGTTCAATCCCTGGGTCAGGAAGATTCCCCAGGAGAAGGAAATGGCAACCCACTCCAGTATTCTTGCCTGGGAAATCCCATGGACAAAGAAGCCTGGCGGGCTACAGTCCATGACGTTGCAAGAGACATGCAAAAAGAACATGACTTAGTGACTAAACAACAACATGCAAAATGCTTTAGGAACTGCAAGGTTTACTACCAGTGGGTACCTTTCCTTGTCTTCTGTGATAATCTAATTTACTGGCATTTGGAGCACACACAGCCTTCAAACCTTTTGGGAAAAGTAAATAAACTATATCTGTCCCTCAAACCTGCTTTGAAAGGTCTTGCCAAATCTGAAAACTCAAATGATAATTTTAATGCTTTGCTGTGCCTTTGTCCCTGATCTCTAAATTGCAGTCAGGGCTCTTGAAAAATTATGTTTAAAAATAAACCTTGTTTCATACCTTGGCTTAAGGGCACAGCATGAGTTATTTTCAGCATTCAAAATCCACTAGATACTAACTAGTAATTTATATACTTGAGACCACTGTCAGGAATTTAAACATTTTTAAAACTATAACTCAAGAACATGGACATCTTAAAGAAAACTGAAAATTTCAGTTAATTCTATCATCAGAATTTTCTGACTTCAAAGAAAAATACGTCTATATATATAAAACATAATTATGCCTTGTAGCATTATGCTTTGTAGCAATACCCAACTATCAAAGAGAACAGACTTGGAAATGTTCATACACTTCAACTACAGTCTCCTAATTCCTCTTATCTCTAAATCCATGAATTCTCCAGTCATGGAAAGCCACTCTCTTCAATATACTTCATAAATGTGATAACCATTTAACATCAGGGTTACAAAAATGTGTTACATGGAATTGACCTTTTAAATTTAACACACTATAAGTGGAAAAAGGATTTTTAAAATAGGCTCTACTAAAATTCCACTGGTTACTGTGTCCCACCATGTAAAATAGCAAATATCAATCTCTTCCTTCTTTCTTTTGAATTGATTTTTGAGGACTGGAGATATATACTGAGAATGTTATATCTCAATTCATGTATCAGTCATATTAGTACAGATGAGAAGACACCTCTGATCACAAACCAAATTAAACACTGGTTAAATTGAAAAAAAAAAAAGAGTCATAAACACATAATTTTAAAGTTTACTTTAAAAATGTAAATATCTCCCAATATTTAACAGGTAAAGAAAATAGCATATTGGTTTATTTTCTGTAGTTGTTATATTTTATTTTCCAAGTAATACTGATTAAAAATATTTACACACCTACTTTTAAGTCCACAGTTTAGCACTCTTATTTGTATGGCTTTAAAAGTTATAGCACAAGATCTTTACATTAAGGATTGGGGGAAAAGATTCATTCAAAACAAAGCCTGATATATTATATACATGTTTTTCTCTGTACTTTATTTTAAATACATTAATTTTTAAATGATGCTCATCTTGTTTTCATCTGGTGGTAAAATTACTAGTGCAACTTTTCATCAAAATAAAGTTTACCACAGATATAAATGAATTTTCCCAATTGAAAATGGCCCTTCAGCTGCCATTAAATGAAATTTCTCAATCTAAGTGAAAAAGAATTGGTAGCTGTCATTATAGGAAAAAAAATATAAAGTACTACAGCATCACCTACACTGCTTACAACACAAATTTTGAAAGAACTAGAGATGCTTTATAGAAGTTTAGTTGGTTTTGAAAAGGCACATGGGTGTGTGTGTGTTTTTTTTAAACATTCTAGAAATTCGCCACCACCATTCTGTTTCTGTTGCAGAGATGACATCTATTACTATCCATCAGGGCAGACAAGGATGTTGTTCAAGCTAAAGGAAGCCAGAAGCCAAAATTTAACTGCACAGTAACAATGCACTTTTCTTCATGCAGTCTTGTTTCCTATATATTCAAATTTTCTAACATGCATTAGAATACATAAACTTGTATTCTAATGATTTTACATTTGATTTTACAACATGGGGCGGGGGGTGGGCGGGGGGGACTTGAGGAAGGACATGACCAGGGAAGGAGAGTAAGAACTCTTACCACAATGAAAATATACATTCGTACCCAACTATATAATAAGAATATAATCCATTTTAAGTTTTCTAGAAATATACTTCTCAAAGCTTCCCATTCACTTATGGGAAAGATCCCTCCTCTGTGGCAAAGTGGGGGGAAATCAGTCTGCTTCCATAGAAACAGTTCAGCACAACAGGAAAGTTTAACTTTGGTCCACATGTCTGTTAGCGTAAGGACAGTCACACTGCCCATCATCAGTTCAAAAACCCAACAGATAACTTTAAAAATATATGCATTTGTTATTTCATTCTAAAACTGGCATCGGTGTTCTGTTCTCATTTCCTGCCTTTTCGGCTTGGGAATTCCCTGTTGATTTGGTCTCTAAAGCCTCAGCATCTTCGTGTTCTTCTGTAGCAGCCTCAGCAGCATCTGCCTGGGTAGGCTCTCTCTCCTCTTGGTTCATGATTTCAGGGGTCACTTGATCCAAGTCTGCTTCTAGAAGCTCAGTTTGTACTTCCACTGGCATCTGATTTACCCGTTCAACATGCAGCTCCTCTACATGGACTTCAGTACCTTCTTCAGTCTGAATTCGCCCCACTTCTAGATAACTTACCTGGACCTGCTCTGGAAGCTCACTTATGTGCGACTCGTGCACTTGGCTGTCCTGGAGCAGATCTGGATGGACCTGTTCCACAGTCACTTGTGCTGAGTCCACCTGAACCTGGAGCAGTGGTAACACATGCACCTTCCCAACTTGTTCTATAATAGTCATTGACGTCACAGGTTCAGTTTGCACACGTGTTTCTACTGAAAGAACTTCTTCAGTTACCAGGCGCTCTGAAATATTATGAGTATCACTGAGATGCCTCCTTAATTCATTTCCTTGCATAAACCACAAGTCACACAGAGTACAATGGTTGGGTTTATCTCCAGTGTGTATCACCAGGTGATCTTTGAACTGGTCCCAGCTGTTAAACACACTATTACAGACCTGCAACAACCAAATAGTTAGTATTAACACTTAACATTCAAACTGAAGAAAATACGGGATGTATTTAATCTGTGTAAGGAAAAAGTTGCAGATTTTTCGGAATATGTTATAAATACAATGTCTGTAAGATAGTCTAAGGGATTTCATAAATCTTTTGTTTATTTGACTTTTTAGCTGTTGTAGCTAACAACTTAAATCCTTTTTGGGAAACACTTTAATATTTCCTTCATTGTTTAAATGTCATAAATTCTAGGAATATAAAGGTAACACTATTATACTTTCTTATATAATATCAACATTAAGAACAATCTCACCATTTGGAATAAAAACACTAACCAAGGAAGAAGAGCCCATTACAGCTGGTGCCTCTTTCACCCCACTCCGGAATTCCAATGACTGCTCTATGGTTAAGAATAACCATAGTTTCACACTACCTGTTACTTAGGACATAATGTTAATAACATTGGTATCATCTAGGATTGGGTAAAAACAACAGTTTTCCTAATAAAAGCAAGACAATTATCTTCTTTAGTCTCATTTCTCTCTGAACTGTCAGCGCCATACTTTTGGTCTAGGCTTGTTAACTCGTCACTTCTAACAATTTCAAACACAGACTTCTTTGCTCAGAATGGAGTACACCACATCCCCACATACCTGACATTCATAGAGCTTCTTTCTCCCCTTTTTTGCTCCCACTCCAGTTTGGCATGCAGTCAAGTGACATTTGAGGGTACTATTTCTAGCAAATCGTTCATGACAATTTGGACATTCAAAAGGTTTTTCACCTGTTAGAATAAAAAAAAAATATTGACAAATCAAGAAAAACAGAAAATGCAAAACGTTTTTTTCTTTTTGGGTAATTCTGATAGGACTGTCCTGAATGGAAGAGCAGAACTTATAACTTTGATGTTCCTACCACATCTAAAAGACTATTCTAAGAGGTGGAAATACAAGTTTTTAATGATTCTTATAACTGTGCTCTGGCAAAGAAATAAAAATTTGGATCTGAATGTTGTTCCATGCTTTTTCATTTCTTAAAAAACTGTCTATTTTCCCTTAGATAAAAATCAAAGTCAAATTCCTTTTCGGGGACATGCAGGCCTCTCCATTCCACAGCAATTTTTGAGCACTTATTGTATTGCCAAGCATGTGCTAGGTAATGAAGATAAATTGTCTTTATTTTAAAAAGTTTCATAGTATAGGCCAGGGTATTTCAGGAAGGTGAAATACATGGACATAAACAAATGCAATATACCATAGAAAGCCTGTTACAGAGAAGAGGGCAATGAAATGGGCTGTAGCAGCACAGAATGATGAATTCTGCCTAAAATGGACTAAGAGAAGTTCAGGAAAGAAAGTTTATTCCAGGAGGAGGCAGAGAGGTGTAAAACAGCATGGCGGGTGAGGAGTAAGACAGGAGGCATCATACTGACTCCCAGATTGCTGGTTTAGAACACCAACCAGAATAAAGAACAGAGATGTTTTAAGGAGGTGTGCAGTAGGATGTGCTGGGGAAGATTACAAATTAAGTTTTGAGTCTGGTGAGTTTGAGGTACTCAGAGCAAAGTGGCAAAGTCTGGTAGACAGAGGAACACTAAGGAAAGTTAAGGAAGAAATTTCACGAAGATAGGTAGTAAACAGTGTTCAACCGAACAGAAATGACAGGTAGGGTAACAACAGGGGGTTTGGGTCACGCTAGCAAGAACACTGGGAGTGGTACGGGGCAATCAGGAGCCACGCTACAGTGGGGGGTAAGGGAGAGTGAGTGGGGCAAGTCAATGAAAACAGTCAGTACAGAAATTCTTTCAAGAAGGCTTGGAAGTAAAGAAGAGAAGTGGCTCAACGGGGACAAGTCAATAAGAGGTTCTTTCAGTTAGAAAAGAATCATTACTTATTTGCTAAGGAAGAAGGAACCAGTGGAGAAGGAATGACAGGTGAAACATGGTTTTGGAGAAGACATTGAGATGTGGGATTCAGGACTGGTCTTGAAAAACAGGAAAATATCTTTCTCTGTAACAAGAGGAAGAGACAATGAAGGAACCACACAGGTTTCTCCACAACTAAGTTGGGGTGTGGACGGGGGCTCGAGTACTGCACTGAAGGTCTAGAATGGCAATTAGGAAAGGAAAGATATACACCAGATACCAAAGGCCTAACTTAAGGTCTGATAAGACTTTTTGCCAGAAGTGCTCAGCAGGGAGCAGAAGTAAATGACTACAATAATTCCAGGATGTAGGGTTCAAAAGCCAAGGATATGTGCTTAGAGCACAAGAAAAAGTGGCACAGGGAAGTATACAATGAGGATAAGATGAAGTAAGAAATGGGGCAATAAATGAGGTTTAAGGGATACAGAAGGACAGGCAGTCTAAATGAGATTAAATGAAGTTGAGTCCCACATCCAGAGGAAGGAAAGCAGGAGAGAAGTCAAGAGAAAGGATGATGCCTGGAGAGAACAGGAGGAAGATTTCAGAGGTGGAGCCTCAGTGATGATCAGGTCCCAGACGTGACCCTCATACTCACGTGGAACCGACACAGTCAAGGAATAACTCTGAGCTGTGTTTTTTCCCTGAAAAAACAACTATAGCTTATTTTTTATATAATTTTCATAAGATGAAAAAATTAATGAGAAAAGATCTAATCACCTAGAATTACTGTTGGTACAGAAACTCTTTAACTAGAACGGTTTTAATAGTATATAATTTTTCACTATAAAATGAAGCCTACAAATAAAAATTGTTGTTAACTTCTTTAAAGGGCAATTTGATAATATTTGCCAAGATTTAAAATGCACATATCCTTTAACTTGGCAATTCTGTCAAAAATTAAGTTACTTAAACATGTACACAAAAATTATGTACAGGTATGTTTGCTGCAGCACAGTTTGTAGTGAATGGCAAAAGACTAGCAACAACCTAAAATTGTATCATCACGAGTGATGAAGTAAATTAGGGCATGCAGGTAACTGAAATCCCATATGGTCACAGTGACAAAAAAAAAAAAGTACATTCATGAATGTTTCACATATTAAAAAGATTTCAAAATAAATTAAATGGTGTAACACTGTACTGTATGTTGCTGTTTGTCTTTTTTTTTCCCCCCCAAAAGTTCTGTGTTTATGGTTACTTGAAAATGCAAAGAACATATCTAGAAAGATAAACTTAAGAAAATGAAGGCAGTAATTGCTTCTGGGGAGACCTATTTAAATAGCAAAGAGACTGACTTTTCAGTGCACATTATTTGAACTTCTGCTATTTAAAAACTTAATTTAATAAAGTCTAGAAAACAGTAATAAATTATACTTTAAATGTGTAAAAAGTACAATCTTCAAAGTGCTTTTATCAATTTCTCTTGTCATAACCCTATAAAGTAGGTGTCATTACTCTTATTTACACAGATAAGGAGAGAGATCCAACAATAAAGAGACCAGTCAAGTTCATCAGGCTGACAAATGTCAGAAATGGAGCCTGGGAATACCAGGGCTTAGGACTCCACGCTTTCACTGCGGGACCCAAGATTCAATCCCTGGTCATGGAACTAAGATCCCACAAGCTGCAGTCAGGCCAAAACAAAAAAACTGGAGCCTGAATCTAACACTGGTTTCCAAACCCTTATTTTTTCCTAAGCTTCCATACTACCTCCCTGGAAAACTAGGGAACAATTATTTGAAAACATGGTTACAGGTCATCTTTAAGTTCTCTTTCACACTGGGTGTCCCATAGGTATAGCTGTCAGTATATCTGCTCTCTCCCCTCATCCCCAAATTTTACCCTTCTGTATTTTTCTTTCTAACTTATTAAACTTTCTATCACTAAGCCACCCAAATCAGAAAGCTGGGAGTCACCTTCTCTTTACCCCTTACTTGCTCAGTCATGTCCGACTCTTTGTGTTACCATGAACTGCAGCCCACCAGATTTTTCTGTCCAAGGGCTTCTCCAGGCAAGAATACTGGAGCAGATTGCCATTCCCTTTTCCAGGGGATCTTCCCGACCCAGGAATCGAACCCAGTCTCCTGCATTGGCAGGCAGATTCTTTACTGTCTGAGCCACCAAGGAAGCCCCTCTTTTATCTCCACATCTCACCAGTCACCAAACCCTGCTGACTTTGCCTACTTCATGTTAACGCCTTCAAGCCTTTACCATATTACTGCCTTTATTCAACCCCTCATCCTTGTTTAGATTACTCAAACAACTTCCTAATTAGACCCAGTAGGCTTCACCCACTCCAATCCTGCCAGTTCTCTGTCTCTAAAGCATAAATTTAATCAGAAATCTCCCTGGGTTAAATTTCTTAAAAGTTTCTTAAAAGTGACCCGTCTTCCAAGATAAAATCTAACTCATGTGGAGCATTTACCTAATGTAACTCTACATGATCTTAGCCTCATCTCTCATCACTTTCTCTCTTCTGTCCTTGAACCACTGGCAGATGATCCATGATGCCAAAGTGCATGTCATACAGTCAGCCTCAAAACTCTTTAGCTGCATCTCCTGGCGTTCCTCTACTTGGACCCAATTCTCTCGCCATAATAACCAGCTAACAAGTACTCCATATGAGTGACTTTTCTCTCCTCATATCTGTACACTTAGCTTCTTTTGCTGGAGGGCTCGTCTTGTGGCTAACTCCTTTTCCTTTGAGAATCATCACAGGATAAACCCTCTAGGAAGCCATCCTTGTCCTCCACCATAAACAGCGTAAGCAGGCATTCCCATAAGACTCTGTGCTTACCTCTATCAGCACTTAGCTGACTGTGCCTGCTTGTCTCTCTTCACAAAACTTTGAACTCCTTGAAGGTAGGTACTTTAAACCTCCATGACCTAAAGTACAGAAACCTTACCCTTTTCACCTCCCTGGCTGTCCACCAGTCCTGACATGTTTGCCTTGGAGAGATGAGGGACATGGGCAAATACTGCCTACCTATCTGCCAGCTCAAAACAAATAAGCAAATGTTCGCAAAGGTATCAACATGTTTGCAATTGTTTATAAATGTATTCATCTATGTAATATGCTAACATAAGGCAGATAAAGTAAAAACAGTTAACAGTGAAGTTTCATAATTAAAATTTCATAATCAACAATCTTTAATAATAATCACAGTGTTTATGTATATCTTTTGAAAATACAAAAATTGGCAAGGTGTAAGAATGACAATTAACTTCAAAGTTAATACTGACTTTGCTTTGATAGCATCAATATCAACAAACTAGTATTATAAAAACACTGCTCGGCCTACACATTAGGAAACACATGAAATGGTTTCTATAATGCTAGTAAAAAAGAATTTAGACACTCAGCTTGAAGTGAGTGTGGGAAAAAAAATAAACTTCTAATATAAAATATTTGTTACTTACCTGTATGTTTTCGAAGATGCTCTTTAAAATGTCCAAAGTGGTCAAACTGCTTCTCACAGTACTGACATATGTGTATTTTTTTCCCAGTTCTCTGCTTCTTACTGACTCCACCTTCTTCCAGGTGGTAACAACTGAGGTGCTGTTTCCACGCGCTCTCCCGAAGATACCTTTTATTGCATATTTCACACTTGAAACTCTCAGTGGAGTGTGATTTCATGTGTTCCTTAAAATGGTAAAACAATTTAAATGAACGGTTACATTTCTCACAATGGAACAAGTCCTTCACATGTGACAGCTGAAGTTCCACAATTTCAATACCTTCTACCTGTTTGCTTGTGGGGTCAGATGCACAGCCGTCTTCATCTTTAATCTGCCCTTTTCTATCGCCTTGGCGGTACTTGCTGGTAATATCTGCCAACAATGCCAGAGCGGAATCATCAGAGGAACCTGTGCTCTGAATGTACTTTATGGACTGCTTGGCAGAAGCCACTTCCTCCAACGTTTCGATGCCTTCATCTTCCACTTCGATTGTGCCTTCGGCAATCTCCACCTCAATTTCAACAGGTTCAGATTCTGCAGATGGCAATGACTCAGTGATAACATTTGAAGTTTCTGCAATCTTTCTTTTTTTTGCTTCATTTTTCCCTGTGGTATTTTCCTCTAGTGGAGCTGAGTTTTCTTTGTTTCTGAAATACATAACACAGGGGTTTAAAAATTCTCTAAGACCAATCAATCCAACTAGGCTTTTTGGAAGAAATTTTTAAGCTGATAATAAAACTTGTATGGAATGGCAGAAAACAAGATTGCAAGACTTATATTAGCTGATATCCAGACTTATTACAAAGCTACAAAATTCAGACAATCTGACTGGTGAAAGGACAGACATGGAGATTAATGGAGTAAAAGTCCAGAAATAGACTACACGTGTATAGTTAATTGATTTTTGAAAAAAGGTTCCAAGATAATTTAACGGAGAAAACATATAACAGTAGTGTTGGAACAACTGCTATCTGTGTAGGAAAAATAAACCTTGACCCTTACTCACTTAACATACACAAAAAAATTAAAAATGGATCACAGACTTAAATGTAAGAACTATTACACTTCCAGCAGACAACTGGATAAAAATCTTTGCAACTTCAAAGATTTCTTAAGTAAAACGCAGAGAGCAAAAACTGTGAGTAAAAACTGGTAAGATAGTTTTCATCAAAATTAAAAACTTTGTCCTTTGAAATACATAGTTATTAACAGGAAGGCAAGCCACAGACCAGAAGCAAAATATTTGCAAACATATTTGTCAAAGCTTTTATATAGACAATATAAAAAGAATTCTTACAATTCCATAAACTCAATCTCTTCAGACAACTGTTGGGAAACAATTCCCCATGAGTCCCTCGTGTTTCTGCTATCTTGTGAAGACAGCTTTGGTTCTGGATTATTTTTCAAAGGTGTTTGCAGAAAGGCCAACAGCCTTGGAATACAGAGTGGCTCCTCTGGAGAAGACAGCTTTACTGTCCATGTCATAATGTCCCTGATATGGGACAAAGGTCAGGCAGGTTTGTCTGCAGCCCATTCTAAAAGACTTTGGTTTCCCAAGCTGGGGCTTCTTCATCTGTGATGAAAACCAACCACATGCAAGCCACTCTATGTCACCTCTGGGACTTGAGGAAGGGAAAAGTGGCACAAATAGAGTAATAAAGTTCTTTTTTCTGACCTACGAGTCCTGTTATCTTCTATCAGCATCCGTAAGATCATGGCAGATAATATGCTGGCCTGCAAGTAGGGTAACATCTCTGATCCCTCACAGATCTTGCCAGATATTGGCAACCAAAAACAGGATGCTGAAAAAGATAAGACTTTATGGAACAGGAAGGATCAGACCTCACAGAGCAAATGGAATTTGAGGAAGTTTGCTGGAGCTGGCATCAAACACGTTTACCAAATTGTAAGGTCAACAACTGGTTCTCTACTGACTTGCCTACTGCTCTGAGCTGAACTGTGCGCCCTCAAAAGATATGATGAAGTCCTGACCCAATAACTATGAACGGGACCTTATTTAGAATGTCTTCACAGATGTAATCAAGTTGAGGTCATCAAAGCAGGCCCTACACTATGTCCTCGTAAGAAGGACATTGGACCCAAAGAAGAAAAGGCCATATGAAAACAGGGGGAAGATGGCAATGTGAAGATGGAGGCAGAAACTGGAGTTATGCTGTCACAAACCAAAGAACACCTGGGGCTACCAGCCTACGAGAAAGGAGAAAGTCAAGTCAAGGAAGGAAGGATTCTCCTCTAGAGGCTTCCGAGGGAATGTGGCCCTACCAACAGCTTGATTTAGGACTTCTAGCCTCCAGAACTGTGTTAAGACATGCAGTGTGTGGTACTTTGTTACAGTAGCCCCAGGAAACGAAAACACCTATGAATAAGGAAAGGTATACTCTTTTGAAAAAGCCATCACTGCGGAAGTCAAGTCTGAGTCAGTTCAGAGGCAAAAACCACGTGGCCCCAAGTGGAAAGCAATGTGGATGGGGCTGCTGAATCAAGAGAACCCCCAAACAGACAATGATGGGGTCTGCAACGACCTTTCTGCCTGACACAGGGCTTTGAGGGGGATGAAAACACTGGAGGTTTGTCTGGCTGAGCCACACGCAGCTCAGGTGCTGCTGGAAACCAAAATGTACCTTTCTCACTGGCACAGTCACTTTCTCTCTCCACAGCATTTCCCCTTCTACCTTTTCCCTTTGCCCCTAACTTAACTTTACCTGCTTGGAGAAAGAGAATTACAGTTGAAGCCAAAGTCTCCTTGCTCTCAAGGGTAAATAGTGAAGACACCATACACATCCAAGCATGCTAAGGAAAACTCAAGGATGGTAAAGACACAAATTGCCATAGCTCTATTATATTCCACAGATGTCCAACTCACCATTCCATCTCTCATCCTCAGAGAGAGGAGGTGGTTGCATTCCAGTGTTGGGAGTTTGGGCAAGGTCACAGAAGGAAAGGGAGGTTGTCCTTTGGGTGGGGCTGATGTTACAGAAAAATTCAAATAAACATTGTGGCCAACACAATATTTACTGTCATTGCTTTGACATCTGTATGCACAGCAGAGATTGGTATGGTATGGGCATTTACTACTTCCCCATAAGTACCAGAGATGGACCATTTCCATCGAGAAGAGCCACATGTAGAGAAGAGGTACTGGAAGAAACTCCCCTGACATTAGCCACCAGTAGCTAGGTCAGGATTTAGCATGAGTGTCTCTATCTCTTGATGTATACATTGCTGACATCCTATTGACTGGCAAGCCTGAAGTCTCAGTCTGAAAAGCCCTGACTATAGTGTCACGACACTTCTACCAGCAGAGACTGCTGGTAAGTGATTAAGTGAAACTCGCTCAGTTGTGTCCAACTCTTTGTGACGCCATGGACTGTAGACCACTGCGCTCCTCTGTCCATAGGATTCTCCATTCAAGAATACTGGAGTGGGTTGCCACTTCCTTCTCTAGGGGTTCTTCCCGACCCAGGGATTGAACCTGGGTCTCCTGCATTGCAGGCAGACTCTTTACTATCTGAGCCAAGTCCAGAGACTGCTGATAAATCCCAACAAAATTCAGAGGACTGCTCAACCAAGTAAAATTTCTTGGGACTAGATAGGCAGAGTCACACATTCAATTCCCTCCAGCAGTAAAAACAAAACAAACAAAAAAACAGCTTCTCTACCTCCTCCCTCTTCCCACCAAACATGAGGCCCAGTAACTCACTGGATTTTTTAGGTACTAAGGAAAGCATGTGCCTCACCTGGGCACATCTATCAATACTTTTTTCTGTATATTACTCAGTCTGCAAAGCAGCACCTTTTAAGTGGGCCTCCAACCAACAGGCTGCACTGGAAGTTTCCATATAACTGTAGCACATTCCCCACCTTCAGGGACCCCCTAGTCTAATGACTTCTTTGAGCTCTAAGTCTGAGACTGATACTTTTTGCAGATTATAGCATCTGCTACTGGCAGGCTGTCTCCACCCAAAGATATTCCTTGGATTTTGGACTTGCCAATTCCTTGACATGGCCATGAGGTACACTCACTCTGACAAGAAAGGGTTAGCTGCTATATGATTCTTGTTAAAAGTGATGCCTGATCCATGGAAGCTTTGAGGCTCTCCAGCCTGATATTGCCATTTCAGAGTGTTAACTAAAACTTTATGACTATCAAGGTAAAAGGTGCCCAACAAGTCTCACTGGTCCCAAAGAAATGCTTACATTCAAGAAAGCAGTTGAACTCTTGGCTTTACATGAAAATGTGGTAGCACCCCTGCTGCCCAAAGAAAGCCACTAGCTAGATCAATGGGGTCTTTCATTCACTGGTGGCCTAGCTAAGCTGAAGGCTGATGGTATTCACTGGGCTGCCAGATGCTCAGTCTCAGCACCAACTTTGCAAAACCAAAAGTGGACACAGTTGCTCTGCTTAGAAGGCAGAACTCAAGGATGTTTTCGTCACTCTAGACGAATACACACTCTGGACGACACTCTCCACAATGAATCTTGAGATATTTTTACAGACTCCCGAGCTACTGCAAATGGCCAAGCTGTCTGGGAGACCTGGAAATCTTGGCAGATTTAAAGACACCCATCTTGAGGGTCAAAACTATGGAGACAAAGAGCTGTTGATCCAACTATCTGAGTAAGTAGTTTAGATACTCATGGTAAAGGCCTGTTCTCTAATGATACCAACTGGAATCAAGTTGCTTATCAACCTACACTGTCCAGATTTCCATCACTGCTGCCTATGTCCCACATTATTCTGAACCTGGTGATACATCCACCATCAGAGACTGAGCAGAAAGTCAAGGACCCTATGCTTCTGATGGAGACATTACTATAGCATGTCAGACTTGTGACACTGGCCAAAAGTTGGCCTGTCTTATGGTGAACGAAGCCAAATCATACAGGGCTTTGTCTCCAACTGTTCCTGGCAGACCGACTACACTAGACCTTTGGACCCATCTCAGGGCTATATGCCTCTCAAGTACTGACACTTTTTCAGGTTATGCTGCTGCTGTTCAAGCCTAAGCAGCTGGTTCTGGCCACACCATCCAGCTCTTGGAACTGAGCTGTGTCATATGTTCAGCTTTCCGGACCATCTGCAGTCTGATACTGATGTACCAAATGCTACTCAATCGGCTGTTAGTCAAGGTGTTGTTAAACCTTTCAAGCTTTCTACCATCCAGATACTGGTGGTGTAGAGAACTGCAGCAACTTTCTCAAACACTGACTCAGAAAACTTTCTGACTCTACTTCCCTCCCTTCTTCCTCATCCAAAAATCCAGTAGACAGTTTAAGTCATCAAATTCCACTATCCCCAGAATCATCTATTTTTGGCTGCCTCCTGGGTAATAACGATCAAGGCAAATGGAGTAGGAAGTTACATAAACCTCAGTGGAAATTCAGGGTCCGCTGCGACCATTCTTAGACATGATCTTCTTCCTTCTGCCCAATGGCAACCTGGGGTCAGCTTGGTCAAAAGTGTGCCTAGCAGATTTAAACTTAGTTCCAGTTCAGCTATCTGGATTCTCTTATGGAATGGACATCATCTTAGATACTAAGCATAATGACTACTTGGTTGAATATACTGCTTGCCAAGTGTTCTTAGATTGGTTCTCATGACCCAAGGTGGAAGACATAATAGGTA